GAGACTGCCTGAAAAAAGGATAATTTGGGCCCAAACAAGCTTCGTAATTTGTACTCTTTGCCAAATACTAATGTTAACAATGAGGATAATAGTAAAATGTATGTGAAGGAAACACGGTTAGAGGTTGTGTCTGGATTCATCTAGCTCAGGACAGAGACCGGTAGCGAGCTACTGTGAACACTAATGACTCTTCCGGTTTCATAAAAGGCGAGTACTCTTAGCTTACGAAGTTACCGCTCGTAATAAGTAAACAATATTCTAAACACAAGTTACGCAGAATGACAGCGGTGCATGTTGATTACAATAGACAGAGACCAATTAACAACGTCGAAGAACTGGTCCTCAGTTCTTTGAACCCAACCAATTAAAACGTTCCAGCCCGGTGCGTTGTAATAAGATTCCCGACAGCTGAAATCTGTTCATTGCCTTCCTTCACAAGGACCTAGGTGTGTGATTAAACCACAGCACGGCTGTGTGTGGATAAAATAAAGACTTTTAAACAGAAACTTTTAACTTCGAGACAGTATATGACACACGTTCGCCTCAAAATTATAATTTACTTTCCTCGGTATAGACGCCACGGACTCTGGTGGACACGACACTTAATATCATCAGGCTAATTATTCCACATCTGTGGTCTAACTCCCTGGAAATTTAAGTCATATTTGCTGTTAATTATCTATGTTCATCGGTCGCTTAAGATTCACGATGTTTATGTAAGACTTGAGGTTCTCACAGCGGTGAGTATGAAGATTTCCGTCTTCTGGGTTGTTGCGCTGTGTAGTCTGGTCGATGTTAACCAACGTTTCAGAGGTCATACTGCACGGATATCTTCATTCACGATGTTCTTCGGTAATCTGACGTAGATAAGTCGTGCTGTATGAACACGGAGGTCAAATGTAATGGGTCTGACGAGGTCACAAAAGTTATCGCTGAACGTATCGCTCACGTGTTTCGTCATCCGTGTTTTCCTGCTCCAAATTCTGGCAAGAGACAATGCTGAAACACGCCCTGGCACGGCGAACGACGTCCTGTTCCGTCTCCTTGGCGAAAAAGGGAGAGTCTACTTCGCGGTGTCACGCACCAAACTCAGAACTTGTGTAAAAAGTTTGTGATAGACAAGAGATGGTCGGGGGCTATCGGTCACCTCGGATGTGTACGCAGGAGCGAACCGAGTTAACTCGGAGAAAACCTTGTGACGGTGGCATGTCGTCTACCACGAATCTCACGGGCCTCTGCGCTAAGAAGCCGGAGTCTAAACGGTCCCAAAAATCCTCTACACCCGCGAGTACGAGACGACGCTCCACTGGAATGCAGAATCCATTTTCACTTTCACACCGCTGGTCCATTGTGGGTTACCTTTAGTGAATTCGTGACTGGCGAGTGAACGCTAATATCAAAGACACACCAGCAAACGGCAAAGGAAGTGGATCAGTAAGGAACTGGGCCACGTAAACAGGTGCAAGCCGATACGAGTCGTAGAAAACACTTTCGAAAAAATTATCGTTCGAGATTTCACTTTTGCAGAATTCGAAACAGCGGACACAATCATCAGAAGACAGAAAACACGAACAAAAATACTAACATTTACCACTGTTTTAATCTTATTATATGATGGATTACTGTACTGCTGTTTCTATAGACTTAACATTCGTTCAGTACACTGAAAACAAAATCGATACGTTTCGGAAGCTGACTCCGCTTCCATCTTCAGGTGAATCTCTCTTTTTTTTCCCTCAAATTGAAGGTGTGTGGCAACCCTGCGTCGAGCAAGTCCATCGGCGCCATTTTCCCAACATCACGCGCTCACTTCGTGTCTCTGCGTCACATTTCGGTAATTCTCGCGTTGTTTTTAGACTTAATAGACCACAGTAGAGAGTAAACATAACTTTTATATGCACTGGGAAACCAAAAAGTTCGCGTGACTCGCTTTATTGCGGTGGTCTGGAACCGAACCCGCAATATCTCCGAGGTATATCTGTATTTAAACCAAAATATTGCACGCATTTCTTAACTCCCCATGCATACTACGTGTCGCACCCATAATTTTCTCCTAGACTTGAACACCCAGACATTTAGTGACCGCAATCTTAAAAATCATAAATATTCTCCACACTCTTATTAATTCATGTTTTTTTAACGTCCTATTATCTTCCTCAGCCATCAACAAACATCAATGCATTGGGCATTTTCCTTTGTCTAGTAATCTACAAACAAAAAAGTTTCTGGTTCTGATTCCGCCATTAGTAAACTCGGTCCACTGGAGAAACCCATTCCTAATCCGCACTTTAACCAACAGACGAAGTAAATATTCCGCCTTCAAACACCGACGTAAGAGGCCGACGATGCGCCCCTACCGGCTGTGGGAAGTACTGACTCACCTGCTGTCCTGCAATCGATTGTCCGTGGTGTGAAGCTGTCGGATCAAATCCTCGCGTTCTCGTTCCTTCACCTGCAGAGATTCCTGGAGCCGCTGCTTCTGGCGTTGGTACTCCTTCAGCAAATCGCCGTCGAAGCCTTGCTGCTGGTCGGGACTGGCCTCAGCTCCGGTCAGCACCACCGTTGTGCCACTGTGCATGGCCGCCGGCTTGTCCGTGAGCGAGTCCCGGCGGGACGACCTCGCTGTCGCAGGAGACTCTCTGCCTCTGTGCTCGGGTGTGGACGCGGCGGAGGAGACCACGCCACCTTTCTTATCAGGGCTGCGAGATCTCCCTCTGGCACGAGGAGGGGGTTGCGGTTTTGGGGTACTTTCTAGAATCGCCGGTAACTGCTGGAAATCAGCGTAACTACTGCTCAGGAAAACATCACCATCGTTTTCAAACAGCCTGTCTACCGACGTGTTCATCAGCTTGTTATTCTTGTAACCAGTGAGGTGGAAACTGGCGAAGGACGAACGAGACATCGCGTTGCCTGTGTTGATATCCCCAGTAGAAAGCGCCATCATCATCGGACTATGGTTCCGGTTATGAGCTCCCAAGCCACCGCCACTGCCTTGCTGACCAGCGAGTCCAAAGGGCAGTCCGTCTAAAGCTGGAAGCAAGGACCGCGACATGACATCGGCAGCGGATCGAGGTCGGGTGAACGGCATGGCCGAATGTGGGAACAATTTCGGTTTGATAGGCGTCACTAACATGTGTTCCGTCCAAGAGGTCTCCAGGGATGGCCGTTCCAACCGTTCGATATCCACATTAAGAGTTCGCTGTTCGAACGGCACTGAGAAAGTGTCCGACGGTATACTCTGCAACCAGGACAACAGACTGAGATCTGAGTCACTATATCCCACAGAACCGTCCAATAGACGCGAGAAAGTCATTTCTTGTTGCTGGGAATCCTTGGAACCCGTGGCTTTAGCCTGACAATAGTTGACACAAGACTCGTAAAGTATTCCCTTTATAATTAAATGGATCAGTCTGTCGTTTTTCGCTGTAGTATTCACGATATTTGAAGCCTGCTCTGAGGTCTTCCTATCACCGGGTAAGAACTTCTCGACCAGAGGAAACACTTCTCGAAAGCACTGAACGCGGGCGTTGCTTGGGTTCCAGTCCTTGTACTGCAGGTGGTCTGACAAACGCTGTAATGTAAGCAACAAACACAAATTTGAGTAATCCTCTTTGGAAGGCGCCACGAGTTCAAGTTCGTGGAGCACTTTAACAACATCCTCGACGGCACTGTCCACATTGCTGATGGGACCAGACGTCACCAGGGCCTCTGACTTTATGCAGAGCAATTCCACGTACTTGTGGCGCAAGATCGAGTACCGGAATCGACGCATGTCGAATGCCTGAAGCGCCTCCAGTGGCTGGATGAATTCAAGGACGTCATCCCACTGCCCGTCAAGGATTAGCTGCCTGAGGAACAGAACGTCGTCTGAAAACGTGCCGTTGATAACACCCGTCTCCCGCTCTAGGCTGAGCTGAGATATGTGTAGCTCCCGGGTGTGTAAGAACTCGAGGGTGAGGCGCACCACGTCCTCCTCGCGCAGCGTCAGGTGCGCCGACGGCATCACGTATCGAATCCGCAATCTGCAACACCAACAACTTACTCTCAACAGTCAGCAATACGAGTATATCAACTCAACATCAGTGTGTATAAAGCTCATCGAATGCTGGGTTTGTGGGTTCGAATCCAAACCACGGCAGGTGTGTGTGTTTTTTTCATTGCTGTAAATCACCCTGCAGGGAACTAACTTCCAGGATTCGACGAACGAGGACATATAAATAAACGCTCTCAAGAATAATGGTAAGATACTAACAGACATATTCTAATACGATAAATTTCAGGTTCTCATGGCGACGTGAATGAACATGACTGTCTTCTGGGAAGTTACGCCGTGTAGTCTGATAGACATTCAGACATTTCGGAGAATTTCACTGCCTCCATCAGTACGAGGCAATAACCTTCTTTAAAATGCAGGCGTAGTTCCCCAGGAGACAGCCACTGCCACACCGAATTATGACAAAAACATGGCGTATGGCTTGGTGTACTCTCTTATGAACTTCGCAGAACACGAAGGGCCGTCACAAAGTTCTCTCCGCGGCCCACAACTGGGACATTTCGATACAATTCGTATCTTCGTAAAATATTTATCTAAAACCTTTTTGTATACATTCACAGCATCAACGGCTAGGACCCCAAATCTTCTCCAACCTTCTGGATTTCCAGCTAAAATTCCGCATGCCTTTAATATGTCCCACATGCGTACTACGTGTCACACCCACCTCGTCGCCTTGATTTGTAGGCTACACATCGATCATGAGAATCATATGTGGCGAAGAACACGAATTCATCTAAAGATGGCCGTCTTCTTTACCAACGTCGGTAAACTTCTACCAGGCTAC